TATCCCGTCCGCCTCCTGCACCATAGCCCTACACACCTTAGACACAAGCTATATTAATATTTCTCTTCTAGATAATCTTAGCTAATTCTATAGATTTCCCTGTCAATGTCAATGTGGTCAAAGATCTAATTCTCAACCTAATAGCACTTTTGTACCCCTTAAAACCCTTTCTCCCTACCCCACCTCATTCCCCCCTACCCCACTCCCCGAACTACCAGAGGACATATTCTTAGTCCACCATCCTCACCCATAACCACATTAACTTACGGTATACTAAGGGATAAAAAGTAATAAAATAAGCTGCAACTACAAGATCTTAGTCACAGTAACAAAATAAACACACTGATAAAATGTTTAAATGAACACGAGAAGGTTTGAATAACACAGAAGAAAGGAATACATGAGGTACCAACTCCTAAGGATAGCACTTGGAGTAGAGTCTTGATGTATATGACGTTGTTGCAGCACCTGACGCATTCACGTACAAGTTCCCACGGGCCCTTGCTGACGCTTGTCCTAGTTGTTATGCTATGTTTGCGCGCACGTATCCCACTCATCTCCAATAGCCACCGAATATTACTTTTAAGACACACAAAAGACCACTGAACCAAAAATAGCAAGGGCAAGGGCTGTCACTGCTACCACTAGTGATTTGAAGACATAACATAAGCAAATAGGAGAAAAAGAAGAGAAAAAATAGTGTGGGAAAGGGTCGAAACAACATATTGCATCCAAGTAAAACGAAGAAGAAAATAAGGGGAGAAGGGGCCAACGACGGGGCTAACACACAAAAAAGAAACAAGAAAAGAGAGGAGACAAGAGTCACGGGAATAAAGTTCACCGTCGAAACATAATCACCAGGATTGGTGACCGCTGTTAGGGTTGGGGAGGTGAGGAGGAGAGAATAAAGAGGAGAGATGGGAGTGGTAAGAGAGAGAGAGAGATGATCTAAAAACTAACCTAGTCGGTTCAGTGGTTGTCGGTGTCTTCACTGGTAGGGTGACCGGAAAATGACAGTTGAATTTTAGTCGGAGAGAGAGAGAGAGAGAGAGAGAGAAAGGCTTTCACCGTTGGGACACTATTATGAGGATATTGGGGGAAACAAAAATTAATCACAGCCCATTAGGGAAACACAACAAAGTAATTCCAACAATGTGAACCAAAGTCAGTCGCTCTTACGCGCGTCACCTAATCAAAAAGCACAAAATGATAGATTACCAATACTCTTAGCTAAAATACTTAGGGCATTTAAAGGCTCTAAAATGTCACGGTTATTAATAGCAGTAGTAACTTCTTAGAAACTTGTGTTTGTACCCATGGATTTTGATCTTTGATTCTCAATTTTGTCATTATTTTTTATGTTTTGAGCCCTTGAATAAGTTTGGATTAGGTATTTTGACATGTTGGAATGATTGGACAGGGTATCATGGGGCTTGGACATGTTTCGAGGTAGTTTCAGACCATTTTGGTTTGCGTTGCTGATTTCTGGTGTCTCTGGTGAGCATCACAATCGTGGTAGGATATTCATGGTCGCATAGAGTATTTTGAGGTCTTTGAGCTACGTGTTTATGGGAGACATCTGGCGTTCATGTAGCTCTGTGGGCTGGCTTCTATGTTCGGATGGGAGATCATACATTCACAAAGAGGTTGAGCTGGCTGGGGAGATTTTGACCTTCGCATTCATGGTGATATGTGACTGTTTTGTCTTTCGATGTGGTTCTTTATTTGCGATCGTGTAGGTGTATCTTGGGAAGCAGTATTTTGTGCTTCGCCATTGTTGAGCACTGAATCACGATCGCACAGGGTACTTCGGTTCAAAGTTTATAAGTTGTGTATTTCAAGATTTTGCCCATTGTTTCATATTTTGTGCCATATACTTCTAGATAAGAAGATTTGAAACGGTATTTCACTAATATATTGGAGTTAAGTAAATTTTACTTGGATTTGGTTATATGCCTTGATTCTCCATAGATTTCTACACCTAAAATAAGGAATTTTAAAGAAAAATTTGAGATTTTTGTTTACACTTTAATATAGTGTAGTTTTAGGATCTAAGTTTCGCTTTGGACTCGATTTTGGAATCTTATCATATATTTGGACTCGTGAGGTTATTGATAGTCGAGATCTACCCCTAGACTTAGGTTTTGACCATGTGAGCCCAAGTTGACTTTTATTGACTTTTAGGGATTTGATTAATGATTGAAGCCGTATTACTTGGAATTGATTCATATAACTTTGTTTGATGTTATTAAGTTATATTTGAGTATATTCCAATCGTTTGCAGTTGGATTTAAAAGAAATGGTAGTTGTTGTTGATTTAAAGCTTGTCGGGATGAGGTAAGTCTTTTGTCTATCCTTGTAAGAAGGAATTCTCTCCATATGCGATTTATTTGCTACTTGTTACCTTATTTAGATATCACGTATATGCGAGTTGACGAGTGGATGCATAAGTAAGTTCTGACCATAGCTGGACAAAGTTAGGCTTATATTATACCTTATTTGGATAATGTGCATTGTCTATTCATGTTCTGTTTATTCTATGACTATGTGTTGAAGCTTATCTAAGTTTAGAAACTATACTTAGGGTTTTGGCTTGTTGAGTTGGCCATAATCATAGTTTAGTCTTACTTGACTCATGATTTAGTGATTATTGGCTCTTGTTGCTCATGTTTGATAACATGATCAGACTTAAGAATATTAAATGAAAATACATTGAACTGTTATAGAAAGTTGAATTGCATAATCAACCGTAGTAGTCTCTTATTCATATTGTTCATCTATATTTTGTTATTATATCCCGGTGCGTGTTCATTATATCATCTCGTATGCACGTACATGAGTTGGAGAGTAGGATATTAAGGAAAGTTAACATTTTAGCACCAAGGACATTATGAGTGGATATTGATTAAAGAATAATATTGTGATTGGACCGGGTTTACACGCTACAATGTTATTATTTGTGGATCGGATTGCACACCACAACGATACTTGTATTGGATCATTCCTTCGGAGTCAGGTGATTACACATGTTATTATGGGCCCTATGAACGAAGGCACCCAGATTGGTGCTAATTTAGACTTTTGGCCAATGTCAGTTATATAGAATTGTACAGTGAGGTTTTGGTATTAGATCATGAGCATTTATTGGTAGCCTAGACTCATGCAGGGACACTTATATATGTATGAATATTGACTGATACATATCATGATTATGAAAGGAATTGAGATAACTAATATTGTACTTTATTTCTCGTCTGAAAAGTATGTCTAAATTTTAGATTTGTTATGTTTATACTGGTAGTCTCGATTGATGATATCATGCTTTATTTCTTGTTCTAATTATGTTTCATATGCTTCTTGAGTTGCTTCTAAGTGTTAGTGTCGACTTCTCGCCGCTACTTCTTTGAGGCTAGACTTGATATTTACTGAATACAGTAGTTTTATACTCATTCTACACTTCTGCATATTTTTGCGATGATTCTGAGGCAAGTACTAGTAGTAGTCATTTAGCTACTTAGGAGCTTGGTTGGAGATTTCGTGGTGAGCTGCTTTACTTAATCTGATCCACAACACATGGATCCCCCTTTCCTTTTTATCTATATCTGTATATGTATTTTCTTTCCAGATAGATATTGCATTCAATTGAGATTATTTACTCTTATAGGAAACTTGTGATGTTGTGATGCCAAGTTTTGGGTGTTGTTAGATAGTTATGGTCGTGGTAGACCCTTTCTTAGACATTTGTATTTATGATATTTGTTTTGAATCTTATTCAGCATTGCTAATGATATCGTGCCTCAATTAATGATTTAATAATTGGATTTTGTTGTTGTAATTGAGTGTTGGCTTGTCTAGCAAGCGGTTCGATACCATGACCTTTGGTGGGATTTTTAGATCGTGACATATATTCATCCCAAATAATCCTAAACCTATAAGAGAAAGATCTTTTCAATCCTACAAGAACAATATATGTTTCTTTCCTGAATCTGTTTGAACAATGGGTTTCCTAAACCTGTAAGGATTATGTCTTTACTAAAAATACTAGGAATCTCATTATAATTAGGATTCATAAAATTCAAGACACAATTAACATTGACATACTAAAATAATTTTTGAATAGATTGACCAAACACAAAGTGTTTATTAGATATATATGGCTTAATGACCTGATTCATATAAGAATATTTATGACTTATTATACACTATAAGTTTAGAAAATATTTTCTTTCCTTCTAAAGTAAGTGAGAGCGAGAGACATAATTATAACTTAGGATGAATACTCTGTGAGTTTTGGACAACCCCGAGACTAATAAGCATGAAGGACCAATATTCTAGGGAATTCAGAATGTTAATGTTATTGGAGTTACTTCCTTGTCTGCGATTTTGTGACCTATTCCTTCTTTTTGTTTGCATGCACAAGCGCAACGGAAATATGAAATTCATTTCATAGAACATGTTTCTTTTTCTTTCCCACTAATATAATGTATTCGAAATTTATTGGATTCATTTGATTTTGTTTCACGCCAAAAAGACGTTAATGAGAAGCAAAGTACACCGTTCATAGGAAATCATCTCAACATACTGTTAATGTGCTAATTTTGTAGTGTGAAAGAAAACAACAAAAGATTGAAAAAAAAATTGTAGGCGTAGCTTCATTGGCCGCTCGCGCTATGTCACAGTAGGACCTTTTCCTTGGCATTGAAGCTTTCTACAAACAAAACTGTTTGTTTCTTATTGAAATGAGAACTCTTTGAAAATAATAATACTAATAAATCATTCCTTGTCACCTTTGACCCGTTAATCAAGATCGTAGTAACCAAAAACCAAAAGTATATTGTCCTTTTCATCCTTTGACCTATTAATCAAATCATTGCAATAACCCACCCCTAACCACCACCTCACCCCACCCTAAGTCACCCCTACCCAACCCCATCCCTTTTTTTTTTCCTTTTTAAGGACAATTCCTACCTGAAATTTTGTTTTATATCATGATTCCAGTTCTTCTCCTCAACTGAACCATTCTTTTCTCTCCTTCTTAATTATACTCTAAATCTTTTCTTTCTTTCTTTTGTTTTCTCAGCAATTTTTCCCTCTAATAATGGTTTCTTTTCTTCTTTGCATTTGAAATATTTCAAACCTGCAGCTACAATTCGAAAATGATAGTAGTAGATATTCAAGAATTTCTCATGCGTTTCTCACTAGTTTCTCTCGTTCTATATTTCATTCGTAGGCTTAGGAAAACACTTCGCATGGCTATTGTTTCCCCACCAACCCCATCTCCTTCTCCTTCTTCTCCTCCTTCTCCATCTTCCCTTCCGTGGCTCGGTCGATGGCTTCTTTTAGATAAGGAAAAAGCCTTTTCGAAGCTAGAAAAATCAAAAAAACCAAGAATTAACGATCCCACGAATGAGAATTTCCTCAACAATGATTCAACGATCTCCGATAAGGATCAAAATGTGGATGGATTAATCAGTGGTGGTATGATGATGGAAATACCGGCTTTTTCGGGTATTAATGAAGAAGGTAGGAGATCTACAAATTCAAGAAAGAGACCTGCAAAGCTTATGGTACCATCATTTGTTCCTTCTTTGGATTTTGGTGAGGTTGGTAAGAAATTTGAGAAGACAGAATTTGAGATTGAAGGAAGAAATTATTCGGTTGCTTGTAGAAAAGGAAGAAGAGAAGTCATGGAAGATGGCCAAGGTGCCATGCTTGATATTTTAGGTGACCATAATCAAGTAAGTCATAAATCATCTTATTTGATTTTATTCATAGCCTCCGAAATGTTAAACCATAATTAGATTTTTCTTTCATATATTTCCACATATGCCAAGAATTATATATGTATGATTTTCTCCTCCTTAGAATAATAGTTTGCATGTCCTTTTTACAAATTTTTCATGCTATTCCAAGACAGATAGTCCTATACACATTCACTTTTCATGAACTTTTTAGTAGTAGCATATTTGAAATACAAAAATTTGTTATTTTGTTAGTAATTTCATGTATTATCTTTGTACGATTCCTCGTATGTCTAATATCACTCCAAAACTTTATTAACATGTTTTTTCTTCTAAATTATTTTATTGTCCACAATTTTTGGAATTGCAACTAAATTTTTATTAGATGTTTTGTTTTCTTGTTCTTAATAGGCATTTTTTGTTGTGATTGACGGACATGGAGGCAAAGCTGCAGCAGAATTCGTAGCTGAAAATCTAGGGAAAAACATAGTAAAAGAATTAGAACGTGTTGAAAAGAAGGAAGGAAAGTACATAGAAGTTGCCATACGCGAAGGTTACTCGTTCACAGACCAAGAATTTCTTAATCTGGTACGTATACAACTAACGTGTGACAATGGCTATTACTTATTAGTTTATTCTTTTTCCATTTTTGGGTCATTTAAAAGAATTGTTGGCCAGACTTGGTCAAAGTCATAGTCATTAATAGTTAATGAGGCGATTCAAGATTCTTTTAATTTGGACTGTCGTCATAATGGTAGGTAGACAAAGTATGCGATGTATGTATTGACTGTATCTACCTTGTTTATTCTTGAATTTGTCATCGCAATTTGTTATTTCTCTTCAAAAGAAAAAAGAGAAACAAAAGAGTAGATATAAACTAAAAAGTTAAGAGAACAAGAATAATAGGTTCAGAGGTAGAACCTAGTGGTTGCAACTCCATCTTGTACCACATGGCTGTGGAGTTCAAATACCACTAAAGGCATCCATCTAATTCCCACCCAACCCCACCAAAAAAGTATACAAAAATAATAAAAATGGAAAGAGACTAACAATAACTAGCATAATTTTAGTGGCAAGGCAGAAAATGCCAGAAATGAGAAGAGCTTATACGCAAAAAAAAAAAAAAAAAAAAAAAAAAAAAA